GCTACTAGTAACAGGTGCATCGCTACTAGGAACAAGAAGCTACTAGGCCACATAGCAGCAAAATCTCAACGGCACAGTGCCATTGGAACCTCCGACCCAATACAACCCCTTGTGAAACACAATACATCCCAGAAGGGGGGGCACACATCGCTAGTAGGCTCGAGGCCATTGCTATTAGGTGAGAGGCCATCACAGGACGAAAGGACAAGACCATGGATCGCCATGTGTGAATGAAAAAAGTTAAAAAACAGTCAAAGGGAGCCTAAGACTTTAAGAGCGATGGCCTCCAACCTAGAGAAACCGTGTTTTCTTCATTTCCGTCACTTGCACTGAGTGCATGGCCGCCTCCATGGGCATCCCAACACGGCTGCCGACGCTCATCCGGGAGCATCGCAACGGAGCCTATGGGGTGCAGAGCCAAGACCGAAACGATGCACTTCGGGACATGAAGCTACTAGGAGCAAAGGGCATCGCTGCTAGGGGCTCCTGGCCGTACTACTAGTAACATGAAGCTATTAGGAACAATAGCTAAAGATAATTAAAATTTAAAATTAGAATTAAAACAAAAAGCTACTAGGACCTTGTCGCGCGCGCACGCGGCGGGGGGGGTAGGAGCAAGGAAGCTACTAGGAGCAAAGGGCATTTCTACTAGGAGCAAAGGAAAGAGACGTGAAAGTCCTTAAAGTCTTCTATAAACATGTAGAAAATAGAAAAAAAACTACTAGGGGCTCCTGGCATCGCTACCAGGAACAAAGAACGCTACGTCCCAAATCTATTTACTTTGTTCAACGGTGAAGACCTCAATCCAAGGCCTGAGACGAGCATCATAACACGCCATAATATACATGCGCTCTTTTAGAGACGGTATATAGACTGTAAGATGAGTACGGTATGTTCGATGAACCTTACCTTCTCTCTTGGAAGCCATTGCTAATGGAACTACTACCGTTCAGGTTCCTGTGGAAAGACCTGCCCAAAGGCCAATGGCAAAGTAAATGCAAGCCCTCGATGAAATATTTCAGTAACTCCTGTAGTTGAGAGATCAACTTGTTGCAATTGTAGACATCGTTCACAGGCCGCCGGTCCAATCCATGTAAATTGATGTACAGTGTTACACGGCTATGAAATGGAAGTACTAGGCTCACAAGGAACAGCATGCCCACAGATGTTAAGTGAGAAAAGCAAGGTTTAGAAGGTTTGGAGTCTAGACGGCGTAGACGCGTGAAATTCGGGCTGGCAGATGTCAGGAGATAGCCTCCAACCTACTTCGTTTAAAGAAACAACCTTCTTTCAACCCAATACAACGGCCTCCAACCTAAGAGCGATGGCCTCCAACCTAATTGCGAAGACCTCCAACAACCTAATTGCGATGACCTCTAACCTAATAGCCTGCAAATTATGGAAAAAGACTAACACTGCAGTTGCCTGTCACATCCTGTCACCTTCTTTGGCAATTTTGCTGTCGTCTACTCGACAATGTATAGCTCAATATAACTTTTGTGTGCGACGGGGCGAAGCAGCCACACTGTGTCACACTCGCTACTTCTGTTTTTTCTATGAACCGCGTCACATGTTCTAGAGCAGTATTTGCTGAAGGGGAAGCTGAGTGAAGCAGAACGCCAGGTGCCAGCCATGTATTTGAGCAAGGCGTGAGAAGTTCTGACTTCTTGGTTGATCTCGGTTTTTTCAAGGTTTTCTCAGTCGAAAGAATGAAAACCTTTCAGACATGTTCTTGAGTTTGTGACGTTCTCAGACGGGAAAGGTGATCAGATGGTCACTTACATGCCTAGCATAGATGTCTCACTCCAGCCGTTTTCGTAGCCTTACAGACCTCAAAACTGACAGACCTCAAGGTTCGGGAAAAGATCATCCCGCTGAGCATATCCTTTGGGTTGATGCAGAGACAAGCTTCTGAGTTGCTGATAGCAGCCTCCAACCTAAGAGTAAAAGGAATCTAAATAGCTTTTTGTTAGTAAGGCCAGGAGCGCCCCTAGTAGCGTGCTCCTAGGACCAGGAGCGATGCCCTTTGCTCCTAGTAGCTTTTCACCGCTTCAGGCGGCTGAAGCATTCACAAAAGGCCCACAAAATCGCAAGTGTCGAAGCAGATTGTTCTTAAGCACAGGCCCAGGCTTGAAATGAAGCTACTAGGCCCAGACTTGAAATGCTCAAGCAGAAACATGGCATTCCTGCTTCGAGTTCCTAACGTGGACTGAAACAAGTCCCAAGAACGTTAGAGATTACTGAGACCTCAGTCAATCAAGGTGAGTTTCCCGGCAAATTGAATCCTTGGACATGACCCACAAAAGGCCCTTTGACACCAAGCAAGACGACAAGCAAACAGAAGCAGGCCACCACTTCAAAAGAGATGCCCTCGCTAAGCCCGGTGCAAGTGTGTCGTATCATAGGGCCAGGAGCCAAAAGCGTGAACGTGATAGGTGTGCACAACGCTGCATTCACGTCATTTCGCCCCACTTCCTAGGAGCAAGGATGCTACTAGTAGCTCCTGACCTTAATACCACTTCAACTAGACTGTCCAGCATGAGTTTGGCCGTTGGCACCTATACCACCGAACTTAGCGTTCTGGCTTGGGCGGCTGCGTCGCGATCCACAATCACGAAGTCTCTGACACTATCGTTTGTGAAGACGCCAAAGACCCTGAAGTCAAAGCTAATCATTTCACTGTTACTAGTAGTGAGGCCAGGAGCCCCTAGTAGCGTCTTTGCTCCTAGTAGCGATGTCAGGAGCCCCTAGTAGCTTTTTGTTACCAGTAGCTTCTTGTTGCTACAGGTGAAACGATTCCCAAGAAAGCTTCTAGTTTATAGAAAGCTTTATTGTTGACACCTCGTTTGACACATTTTGTAGCTGAAAATTGTGTCACTGGCGCTGTGTGCCGCAAGTGCGAAACTTTGCCTGTAGTTCAGTCTGCCGTGTTCGTGTCCTGTCCCCGAACGCCCAGTCCCTTCAAATAAAGGAAAACGTGTTTTCCTGAGGCAAAATAGCTGAAACAAGTTGTATATATAGTGCATGTTCTCCATGTTTGGAGTTAGTTGATTGTAGCAGGTGCAATTTGTCAGAGCGCATTTTGATAGAAGGGTTATTAGTAGCGTACTTGCTCCTAGTGGCGATGCCCTTTTGCTCCTAGTAGCGTCCTTGCCAATGACCAGCAAGAAAAGCGCAAGATTTTACTCAGAACCCGCTGTCGAGTCTCCCAACAAGTTAGCGCAACTACATGACCCGACTGCGGCATCTCAGCGTGACAACATGCCAGCGTGACACCATACAAGCATATCAGCTTGCGTGTTGGGGTCGCAAAGCCAGATGCGCAGCTGCAAAGCCGAAATGGTCTTGGCACCTTTTCGGAAGAATCCTGTTCGGAAGCGTCTATTCCAGGGAACACCCCTCCTTGCTTCTGCTAGAGCCCACCTGCTCCAGAATCTGCTCCGATCTGTGCCGAAGTCTACTATGGCCGAAGACCCCGTTGTGTCGCAGTTGGGGAAAAAACATGTGCGTTGGGCGTTTTCGCTTGTTTTTGTTTCCCTTCGACTCCCTCTGTATGACGGGAAACTAGACATCAAGGCAACACTTTGCATTTGCTTTTGTAGATCTTCGTCACTTTCTTTAACCTTTTGAGCTTGAGTCCCAAGTAGCGTTCTTGCTTCTGGTCCTAGTAGCGATGCCCTTCGCTCTTAGTATCTCTTAGTACCTTAATCCTTAGTTTTGTGTTTCTTCCTTGGGACCTTCTCCCATTTGTTACTAGTAAGGCCAGGAGCGCCCCTAGTAGCGTCCTCGCTCCTAGGAGCGATGCCCTTTGCTCCTATAGTAGCTTCTTGTTCCTAGTAGCGATGCCAGGAGCCCCTAGTAGCGTCCTTGCTCTTTGTAGCTTGTGTTTTTCATATTTTTCGCTGATGCAACTAGCCTTCCAATTCAACTGAGCAGTTGGGAGGCCTTGGCTGATATGCCCTTTGACATCCTCGCGCCTTTGGCACGTACTCCTTCGGAGCTTGCGGAGAAGCTAGTAGTAACAGGTGCCACGCTAGTAGTAACAAGAAGCTACCAAAAAAACGGCATGGGCAACCTTCGGATTCCGTCGCTGTTTGTCATTTTTGTCGACTGAGAAGCTTCGCATTTGTTCTCACTGACCGCACTGCAAGCCTTAGTAGCGTCCTTGCTCCTAGTAGTAAGGCCAGGAGCCCCTGGTAGCGTCCTTGATGTTAAAGCGCGACCTAAGATCGCATTGATTTGGAGCGCTACCATGTTTTGGATGGTCGGCTTCCGTGATGACTTTGAGCGCCTGAGACTCCAATGAAGTGTTTGGCTCTTGGAGTGCTATTATCCTACAGGTTTCACTCATGTGTGTGTTTTTTTCACGGTTTTCCTGATTTCATGTTTGATTTTTGATCGTGTTGTCTCTTGACATGGCGCTTCTGTGGAAAACAGCCGAGGCACTTCTTCTATTTCTTCTTGGGTGTTTATGCGCTCACCTGCGTCATCGGCTCAGTCACGGCTTTGATAAACACGGTGTCTATATGTGCTCCTAGTCACCTTTTTTCCCAGTAGTAAGGCCAGGAGCGCCACTACAGTAGCATCCTTGCTCCTAGTAGCGATGCCCTTTGCTCCTCCTTTGCGGGCCGTTTCCCACAGATGGGCGACACAGTGTGAGACATTGAATTTGGAGGACACTCCACCCTCAAAGGTACCTCAGTACAATGCCTCACCATGGCGTTTCCAAAAAAAACAGAAAACCTCGCACAACCTAGAAGCTACTAGTAACAAGAAGCCTTTAGGGGCTCCTGGCCGTACTGCTAGGAGCAAGGACGCTACTAGTAACAAGGGCATCGCTACTAACCTCATCTCGCACAAAAAACGGTTGCTGTTTCGCATGGCAAGCTCTCACGCCTGGGGGAATTTGGACGTCGCGCACTGCGAAACAAAACCGTTCGGTCGGTTACCTGTAGCCTCCAACCTACTTAGCAGACTCCCTTTTCTTTTTTGTTTGTTTCTGTGGTTATGACAGGGGTTGCCCAGTGCGTCGGGCTTTTCCGATCCTTGAGCCAAATCAGCATGTGACACCGGATTGGTGTCTAGACCTTCGTAGCGCTTGGCTTTCTACGAAACAGGTCAGTGAAGATGTGGTACACTTTTCGATTTGTGCACTCTGTACTTCATGAATCACACTCCCCCTGGCTTGGTTCAAGCCATTCAGTGAGCTGTTCAATACTCCCATCCGACTCGCTTGAGTCTTCGCGAACCCTTGAGGTTCCAGAAAAACCGCGTTGCGGCTCCCAAGGGTCATTTGACCGGGGCCTCACTGGCATCTGCGTGGACACACCCATCCATGTTGGTGTCTCCTGATCTGGGCCTCCAGCTGGTGGTAGTGCAGGATCAGGTCCTCTATAGATCTCCCGATTCGGGGGTGCCAAGTTGCTTCGCACCACCCTCCATCCCTGGGCGGTCATCTCGTCCAAGGTAGGCGGTTCTTCATCCTCACTGGCCAAAGTTCTCCTCCAGTCAGGTCTTTCTGCACTGCTCGACTCACTCTCCACCGGCCGGTTCCTCTCAGGCGACCCCGCATCAACCGCTAAGTCCCGCATAAACGCCAGCCAGTCGTCCCGCACATCATCATCCAATGTAGTTCCATCCAGGTCCTTGTGCCCAATAGGCTGGGTCATAGTCCCACCCTCTGTCGATCTCTTCACTCACCAAAGAGAGTTCTCGGGAATCTCCAGACGTTCCAGAGCCCTCTACTTCCCCTCGTTGTTGGTGACCACGAAGCCGCTGCCCATAGCCTCCCAGACTGCTGCTCATCCCCTCAGTCATCCTCGTACTGAGGTCAGAGACCGATTCCACTGGATCTGGCTCACGTCCTTGACGATCCAGTCTGACATCTTGAGGCAAGCCTTCCGCCAACGGACCATGTTCCGCAATGCCCGGCATTGGCGGTGGTCCCAAGGTCAATGAACTACTCATCGAGGAAGACGTCCGATCGCCCTGCCCTCTGGTAGTAGACGAACTGGTCGTCGAAGTCAAGGTCCCCGCCGTTGGGTCTGGATGAAGATCCCGAAAGAACGTGTACCCAACCCAGGCATCTTTCGCAGGCGGCTGCGTCTCCCTTCGCCAATCATCATCTCTGATCACCCTTTCTCCATGACACCACAAGACGGTAATTCTCCGATCTTGAATGTGACTGCAATCCATGGGTGTTCGTCGATGAATTGGGTGGAAAGGCCTCATCCTCTGCCTCACATGGTGTCTGACCCACCATCCCCCTGGAAGTCGGTCCCACCGGTCTTGACCCCTCGAAGGCATGGAAAACCTCCTCCATGTCCAGGGCCTGTCATAGTCGACAGCTGGTGTCGTTCCCGTAGCCGCCGATGATTCTCCTCCCAACTCTGCCGAAGATCCTCTTCCCAGAGCCGCCAATCGTGCCCTCTTGGTGTTGCCGCCATGGCGCACTTCTACCGCGTAATCCCGGGAGCCGTCTAGGCTAGGTTCAGTGACGGGTTCCTCCTCTGACCCATCATCTCTACTGCAGGTGGGTTCGTCTTCCCTCACCTGATCTTGAAGTCCATAAGGTGGATCTACATACTCGTTTCTTGTTGGCCCAGTGGCTCTCTTCTTAGAATCACAGCCGGCTTTCCAGCTTGTGGCCAAACTAGCTACCATTGCGGCTACGGCTAGGCTCTGAGCAGCCTTGCCCGTGGGACCTGACGGCCGCCAAGTCAACACACCCGCTAGCCCACCTACCAGTGCTGCAATCCTGGCCACTTTAGCTATCAGAGGAAGCTTCCACCACCGGTTTCATCCCCATCGCCGCAAAGAAATGCTGCCATCGGGCTGCCACTCCAATCGGCTTCGTCAGAAAATCAGCCACCAGATGTTGACCTGGGATGTGAATCACCTTCCAAGCACCCCATTTGACCCGCTCTCGTAATGCATGAGCTCGAAGGCGAAGGTGGCGTGTCCTCCAAGGTCCATCCGGCGCTTCCAAGATTCGAAGACCAGCTTGGTTGTCTCCCCCCAAACGGCATTCCGTCCCCTTCTCATCTCCAGACCCTTCCAAGACATTGGTCAAGGCCGCCAAGGAGTCCCCCATGGTCATAGCTTCCGTGTAACCCAGCAACTCTGCCTCCGCACTCGACAACGTACAGAACGCCTGCTGCCTGGATTCCCATTGGACTGGTTTTCTTATAGGTTCCAATCACTCCCTGACACCCTCTTCCAGAAGGAGGTCCGAATGACACCCCATCGTGGGATGGTAGTGCTCCCCGGGGATTGATGACCGTGCTCGTCCATAGTGAAGCGACCATGCCAAGGTTGTCTTCAAATATCCCAACATCTGACATCCATACTCAAGGACCCGTTTTGGTGTTCGGGTCACCTGTCTTCCCATCCAAGGCACTCCATACGCCAGGTCAGGTCGGCTTCTCACTGACACCCACAGTAGTTCGCCCACCACACCCTGCGCCTTTCTCACTTCCTCCAACGTAACCTCCGCTTCCGGCTCCTCATTTGGCACTCCCGGAAAAGGCACAGTAGCAGGGGTCACCGAAGGATGTCTACTGAGCAGCTCCTGGATGTAGGCCTGCTGCCCCACATAGAGTCCGCTATCCTCATCCGCCGAACTCCATCTCAGCTCAAATCCGCTGAACTTGGTCCATCTCTCACTGCTGACCCACTCCGCCGGGCTGCACTTCCACTCCATCTCGATCCTGCTCAAGGCTCCTTTCACGAGCGCCAACGACGATGAAGTCGTCCACGTAGACCCCAATGAATCCCTTCGGAGGCGGCTCCTCCTGATCCAGCGGTCTTCTCTCGACTATCTTCCAAAGGTTGGGTTCCGGCGTCTCCCGAAGCTCCAAGGTCACCCCTTCATGCTGCCACTGAAAGGATCTCATCAACCGATTCCGGTAGGTCGCCCAGTCTGCCGGCGAGGATCGAAGTCCGTATAGGGCGTGTTGAACTCGCCATAGTTCTCGAGGTCCAACAATGCCCGCTTCCACCAAAATGCGTGGCGGTTTCACCACAACCAGTCGTCGACTAGAGTCCTCCCTGGGCGCCAGGAGGAAGGCCGTCTTGACATCGCAAGTTGCGATCTCCCAGCTCATCGCTGCGGCCTTTCGGAGAAGGCATCGGATTGTTGTTCCATTTGCTCCGCCAGCATACCGGTTCTGGGACTCCTCCTTGCCCTGGGGTGCTGCACCACTGCCATCCAAAGCCTCAAGCCGGTTGCCACAGACCACTATGCGAGCTCGTTTCTTCCCATGAGGGGCCTTAATGGTTGGAACCAACATCCCAGGCGCCACCTCCATCACCTCGAGCAGAGGATCCTTCTCCAACTCTTCCATGGTCGTCGGACTCAATGCCCGAGTTCCTTCAATCAGGGACTGGTACTCATCAGTCATCGGGGGCACCCATGCTGCTAGCTCCTGTCCTGCATAGGTCTGCAACACCGTCGGTGGAGGAGCTCCTGGGTCCTGGATCTCCAAACCCGCCTCATTCTTCACCGCAGCCAGCCTCACCAACTCCAGCTTGCGATGTTGATCCTCCAAATGATCCTCCTGTACCAACAATCCAGCTTCCAAAGCAGCCATCCATCGTCCCCTCTGACGGCCCTGCTCTTCTCCAATGGCCTGATGGCGCAACTCTTCACTCCACAATCTCTTCATCAGCAAGACCTCACCTCCATGGCGTGCCACTCTTCAGCCTGGTCCCAAGAACAATCAGAGCCCTTCCATATCCCGCCAGTTCGACGCTCCCGATAGTCGTCCACATACTCCAAGTTGCCACCACAGAAGCCGCAGGAGATTTGTGTAGCCTCCACCAAGTCCAGTGTACCTTCCACTACCGCTTGCATGGAACTCACCACCACCCCACATCCACGAAGATCCTTGGGGTTTTCTGTTGGGACCTGATGTGGATGTCTCGGTTGAAGAAGGCCACAGTCTCCACAGCACACCCAACTCCACGCCTTCGGCATCTCCTTCACGATCTCCCCCTACCATTGGCATGGGTTGATCAATGGACTCCCCCAGGTCATTCGCATCCTCCCCAGGTTGCCATACCGACAGCGAATTCAATGGAGTAGGTGCTGGATTTTCCAAAATTGGATCACCCACGGGGACTGGGGTCTCCCCCCCAGCTCGTAGTACACGAAGAGCTGGCTGTCCGGCGACGACTCCTGCATCAAAATGCCGAGACACTGCGTCTTTCAGTGGATGTGGATCAATGGACTGCTTACCTGCCAGCCGATGTCTGATGCCCTTGTCTTTGAGGTCCACCTCCTGCAATTCCAACATCGCTTCAAGGGTCTTCGATGGAGTTACCACCGTCCGAAGATGCTGGATTCTATTCTGTTTGTCCTTGGCCACCCAACCTGACGACATCAACGGGCTTGGGCCCAGCACCTGCACCCTTTTGAACGGGTTGGTCAGCTCTCCGGTTTTGTGATGCCATCTCTTGGATTTGGCCATGACCATCGATCCAAA